GACGTCGCATCGACCGAAAGAACTGCTGACGAAGAACAATGGAGAGGACCACACAATAGTTGCTGCCGAGTAAGCAGACGATCGCGTGACACACATCGAGAGTGGTCTGCTTCTGTTGACAGCCGAGTGAACACTGTTCAAAGATGAATTATTAACTCTAAAAATATTTTGGCTCTTGCTTGGGGGTACATCTTCCAGTACCATTTCTGAATTTAGCTAATTTGACTAACACTTCCCGGTATTTCAGCATTTGGTCCAGGTATTGCTGTGGGTAGCCCTTCTGTGCACAGCGCGCTGCAACAAATTTGCGGGACTTACAGTGGGACGAAATCAAAGAAAGAGAGACATGGCCATTTGCGACGAAAATATTGTAGCATTTTGATATCTGAAATGTGTCTTCCATTTTTAAGTACTTTATTGCAGTGGTGAAATTAGCAGCTAATCTCAACGTTGTTTTGTTCAGCATATTGTACCCTATTGTTACATATACAGCTCATAGGGGGATCCAAGGGGATGCCTAGTAAATTTTCTTAATAAATACCTCAATGTTTTGTTACGTTTGGCTGTTTTCATAACCATTTATCCAAATTTTTACATGAGAGTTTGTTCCCCACTACTCTTTCAATGCTTATTCTGGTCCCCAAAAACTGGGAAAAATTTGAACAAAGTTGGTTATATTATTGATTTTCGGGAGAATTTTAAATTTTTTATGGGAAGCGGAACGATCATATTCATTTGCTTACCAAAAATTCAAATATTGCTCAAATTTCAGCAATTTTCAGCATCTATGTCTCATCTCCATTCTAAAAATAACCATATTATAGGATATTTGACACTTTTTCGCAAATCGGAAGCCGCCGTCTTGGCGTCGGATATCGATTTCCGGCTTCTAGACGTCACCCAGATTTAGACAAAAACCGTTTATATGGGTATAAGGTAGAATTTGCAACTTTTTCTCAAATCGGAAGCCCCCACCATGGATTTTCAAATAGCGTCGGATATTGATTTCAAATCTCCAGACGTCACCCCGATTCCAAAAATTCCCATATTGATGGGACGGCATCAGCATTTCCCATTTTTTCTGAAATAAGAAGCCGTCATATTGGATTTCAAAATGGCGTCGGATATCGATTTCCGGCCTCTAGACGCCATCCCGATTCCAAAAATACCTATATTGATGGGTATTTGACCGTATTTCCCACTTAATCTGAAATCGGAAGCCGCCATCATGGATTTCGAAATAGCGTCGCATATCAATTTTCGATCTGTAGACTCGGTATGATTACAAAAATACCAATATTGAGGTGTATTTGACTGTATTTCCACTTTTTCGTAAATCAATTTCAAAATGACGTCGGACACCAATTTTCATCCTCAAGACATCATCCCGATTCCGAAAATACCTTTATTGATAAGTATTTCACAGCATTTCCCTTTTTTCTTAACCTGGAAGCCACCATATTGGATTTCAAAATGGCGTTACATATCAATTTTCGATCTCTAGACGTCACCCCGATTAAAAAAAAACTACAAGGGACAGTCCTATGGGGTTGTACGCAATGGTTACGTAGGACTACGTGGGCTTATATAATAAATCTTATTTGTTAACTGCAGCAGGAGCTTGTGTTTTGTGTAGGAATAGGAATTTGAGCGGGGTTCTCTCTGTTTATACTCTTTAGTATGACGCGCTTGGCATAGATGGCCCAAAGTGACTCACGAAGAACTAATGATTCCGATCGATAGTGGTGCGGCTTCTTTCTCCTTCTATGGATGCTCATGTGGGCAGCAGCTCGCTGCTTGCAGACAACCTTTCGTTGTGTACTGGAAAACAATGTTCAACGCGGCCAGCCTTGATAGCTAGCTGCTTACGGGGAGCCCTTCGTTGTGTACCGAAGAACACCACCACTCACCACGAGGTGATTGAATAAACACCATTTGTTGAGACCGGATGGAATTCAACTTTGAAATCTGTGTAAGGGAAATCGCTTTTCGCAGGCAATCGGTAATAATTTTCATTCATGCAATTTTCAATTGTGACATTTAGAAAAACGATAAAGTCTTAAATTCAACAGATTCGTCGAAATATTTTTGATCGATTGCTGATTAAATTATTGAAGTTGGTCCAGAGGCAGCTGAGTTATTGACGTTCAAAATCTTTCATAATTTTGTTACATGTTCCATTTTTGGTTTTCACAAAGTGTATTGATGTTGACGGGGATCTGCTCGAAGAGAAGACAGAATGACTTTCAATTGAAAGTAATGGTGGACAGTTTTATTGTCGCTTAACGATTTTCGATTGGAAGTCACTTTGTGGGGCCCTGGTTGCACTACCAGGAAAAACGCACTTCAATGGATTCACAGCACAGTTATTTTGAATTTGAAGTTACCTACCTGGTACAGTTCTGCCGAGGTACATAGAATTTCGAATATTGAGACTTTAGAACAAATTTCCAGCAACATAATTCATAATTTCAGGCAAAATTAAATTCTTAAATACCTTAATACTTTAAAAATACTTAGATAAAATTTAGTTTTAGTTTTTAGTTTTAAAATGTCAATTGTTATACTGAAATGTAGGTACAGAAAACCTATTTAAAATTCTGAATTGCCAAGGCAGTAAATACAATGTTAATACACTTTGATATACAGGTATACCTCGATATAACGTAACGGTCACTTTTGACTTCCATTTCTGATTTTTCGTAAACGATCATTCAAATAAGCAAAGTAATATCACCATCAAACAGATGAGATAATCCCCCATCTATTAAGTAATATTAACTTGTATGATTCAATTGTTATTAGCGAAATATTGACGATGGAAGTCAAAAATGACAGTCACGTTATACCGAGGTAAACCAGTATATCATAACAATTAAGGCTGGTAAGTTACAGTAGTGGCTGGAGGTTTGGTTCGAACGACTCTTCTATCGACAAAAATGTTTGATAACGACGCAGCTTCCCACATTTAAAATCTATTCCCTTTCTATGTCCATGGCTACTTCAAATCGGAAATGAATTAGATTTATAACGTAACTATCTAAACAACCTGATATTAGCACACTACAAAACAAAAGTACTTGGACATGTATTCATTTCACCCATTCAATTACATGCATGTGAACCTCGCTGACAGTTACTCTGCCTCACCCTATAGACCAAACCAAAAAAAAAATCCCAAAAACTTCCAACTCCCTCAGCGGATAGCCACTTTCCATCGGCCAGCAGATAAGAAATCCCCTTTCTGCAACAAAGAATCAACCTCAACCAGCAATGTAAAGAAAGCAAAAAAAAACCAGTCAGAATCAGAGAAAACGAAAATGCAAAACTCCCAAATCACTGGCCTCCAGTCGAGGTTTTGTGGACATCCCCCATCCCCCTTTCAACCGACTATAACCCCTTGACGACACCCCCGGGAGTACATTTTCGATTGTGTCCCGAATCCCGATGACAGTGGCAGCAGGAAAAAAGTGAAAACTTTTCGTCATGCCTCGAACAGTAGCATATTCCTGTTGCGGTGGGCGGCGAAAGTCGGACACCGATGACGGATTTAAATATAGTATACTGACCGGGTTTCTGGTATTCACGGTGGAGAAGACGTTCCCAACACAATACCGGCAAGTGGTAGGTCAACCGGTGGTGGTGGCCGCCTCTCGCAGCTGGACACAATCACAGGCGCTATTGTTAGGCAGACGTGAGCCCTCCCCCTCCCCCCCCCCCCTCTTCCCGCACACATCCAGAAATGGTGGCCATCACTCTCTTCAGCTTCCGTTGGAGCTACCCTAATGGGATGGTCGTTTTTTGTTTCTTCTCCCAACCAAGAAAGGAAAATTGACAAAGTTTTCTCGCTGCAGCGGGTGGGGGAGCGGAAAAAGTTGAGACAATAGAAGCGGACAGTTCCGGGCTGGTAGCCCAGGCGTGCAGTGTATCTTTGCAACTGAGCATGATTTCATCAGTTTTGTTTTATTTGCTTTCAAGAACAGCATGGCACAGCACAGAAGGCACGACAGGCGAATGAAAATGGACTCATCTGTCTCCTAAATGGCGCTAGTCATTGGGATTACCTGGGAGATTCATTTTTCTTCCGTCACCCGGATGCCGAGGGGGGACCGCTGGAGGCATGGACGTGAGTAGATTTGTGTGTTTTTTTTTTGTTTTGGATGGGGGCCGTTTTCTCTGCTGAAACATGAATGATATGATGATTGTTTGAACAGAAATCGGATCTTGCATCTTGGATCTCCAACACAGCAGAAGTCCAGAATTACGTTTAATGAATTTTGTGTTCGACCATGGATTTAGATCTTTGGCAAAGTTTATCATAAATTCGTGAATATTGTTGAACTAGTTTTAGCCTCAACAAATCCATTTTATTGGATTAAAGTGCCAAAGATAGCAATGCAATTTTAATATTATCGGAAATTTGATTTTGAAGATATGACAAAAAAAAAAATTAAAACTAGCATGATGAATCAGATTTAACCTTGTCTCAAATTAATTGCACGTCCTTCAGAAATGTCCCAGGTACACCCCGGAGAGCGAAGATTCCGAGAAAATTGTACTTAAGAAGATGGAATTTCTCCAATGCCACACTACCATTACACTGACTGTGATTTAACTTTCCTCGAACTGTCCTTAAATCACTTGTGAGAGGCACGTGGATGGAATTTTGTCCACAACAGCCAGCCTTCCTTTCCTCCCTCTTCCCCCAGTCCCAGGAGAGGTGACGTGACAGATTCACTTCTGTTGTCTCGATTTCCCAATTCCGTGATTGCTGCAGCCTAGTCTTCGTTTCCGTTTTTCTTTTTCATTTCTGACAGTTGGGGGCTTAACTTACGCATTTATATGGCAGACAAAGAAATATAAAAAAAAATCCTATTCAATCCTCGGCAGCTAATTTGAATTGTCGATCGCAGTCTCTTGATTGATATTTATTGGGGCTGTCATTTTTCAACTGACTGACTTTTTCCATTTTCTCTTTCTCTGTATCCCCCTCCCCGCAGGGACTCAACAATGGAAGCGCTGAGCGATGGTCACACGGTAGCACCGCTGATCAAAGTGGCCTATCTGCACGCCCGCCGGGGAGCCAAAACGTACATGTTCCATTTCGCTTACCAGACCAAGGAGACCGAATATCCACAGGTGAGTTTCGTTCGTACTTCGTTATTCTTTCTTTTTTTTTTGGCTCTCGATTGACTCCATTATCTAAAATAAATGACCGTTGAATTGATTTTGGCTTCCTTTGTTCTCTAGCGATTGGGTAGCATCCGTGGCGAGGATCTACCGTACGTGTTGGGACTCACGTTGGTCCAAGGAGGTCCCTGGTTTTCGCAGAATTTTACCCGTCAGGACATGGGGGTGAACGAGGCGGTGCTGAACTTTGTGACCAACTTTTGCAAGACCGGCGACCCGAACGAGGCCGGCCACCAGGCGCCGCTGTTGCATCCGGACTATGGGACGGCCAAGGAGCGGACGCGCTTTCGCGGGATAATGTGGGAAACGTTCGAGACGACCACGCAGCAGTATCTGAGCATATGTGAGTACCTGTGGGAGTGGTAGGAATGATAAATTGATGATTGACAGACGGCGTTCACACGCCCGTTGGAAGCCACTCGAAATTGAGTTGGATTTTCGAAATTTCGTCAAAATTGGACTTTCTCAAAAAGGCATTTGAATATTTCCGTGAAATAGGGGAAATGCCGGCTTCGGCATGACAGCATTTTCGGCAACCCAAATTGAAACGCTGATTTCACTGGATTTTCTTACGAAAACACTTCGCTGGATGCATTCAAACGATTCTTTAGACTTTCAGCATAAATTTTATTATATTTTTACCCCTGAGAGAAAGCAATTTAGCAGGGTTTTTTTGAAATCAAACACACGCACTACAAAATGCTTCTGATATCGAGTTACCGATGAAAGGACAGCTGTTTAACACGCAGCTCAAATAGAAAGGTTGCCGAATGAAAAGATGTTGCCCACAGAAGATTGGAGCTTTGTAAAAGCGTTTCAAAACAGTTTTTGACAATTCTTCCGAGTGAAAATGTTACAGCAGCTAGCAGCAAACGATTGTAAACAAACCAATACTGTATAGGGGAATTTACGTATTATCGTCAATCTAAGCAGCGTCTGCACTTCTACTAGCATTTTCTCAGCGTCACGCACATATATGATGTGTCTGTTTGTTTACATTCATCTGCTGCTTGCTTCTCTATCCATTCCAATCGACAGAATTTTTCAAAACGTTTTGAAAGCGTTTTTACAACGCTCCAAACTTCTCAGGTGAGTGTGACTATTGTCGGCAGCCTCTTTTTCTTCGGCAACCTTCCCATTAGAACTGCGTGTTAACCAGCTGTTCTATTATCGGCAACTCGAAATCAACCCCATTTTGTAGTGCGTATGCTTTATTTGAAGAAACATGTAGCATTAATGGATTGCTCGATCGTTCAAATATAATCAGATTGAAGCTGAAAGGCTAAACAATCGTTTGGACACATTCAGGGAAGTGCGTTGATGGGAAAACATAGTGAAATTAACGTTTAAATTAAGGTTGCCGAAAACAGTCAATGGGTGCCGAAGCCAGCATTTACACTAAAGGGTGATACGGTCAAAATTTGGTCAATATCAACTTGACGTATTTCTTTCAATTTTGCATTTAAAAAACCTGAACACCCCTCATTTTGAAGGTGTGTGTGTGTAGAATGTTGCTCCTATTTTGATTTTGGAATTCACTCTTCAGTTGTCAAAATGCCGTCCAAGCAAGAAGAGCAGCGTATCAAAATTTTGCTCGCGCATCGCGAAAATCCGAGCTACTCGCACGCAAAGTTGGCAAAATCGGTAAAAGTTGCCAAATCAACCGTTACAAATGTAATTAAAGTGTTTGGGGAACGTTTGTCGACAGCCAGGAAGTCTGGATCGGGGGGAAATCGAAAACCGGAAGCCGCTGAGACGACAAAGAGAGTTGCCGGTAGTTTCAAGCGAAACCCTAACCTCTCTCTCCGAGATGCCGCAAATAAGCTGGGTGTATCGTCTACAACCGTGCATCGAGCCAAAAAACGAGCCGGACTATCGACTTACAAGAAGGTAGTGACTCCAAATCGCGATGATAAACAAAATACCACGGCCAAAGCGCGATCCCGGAGGCTGTACACGACGATGCTGACGAAGTTTGACTGCGTGGTAATGGACGACGAAACCTACGTCAAAGCCGACTACAAGCAGCTTCCGGGACAGGAGTTTTATACGGCAAAAGGAAGGGGAAAGGTAGCAGATGCTTTCAAGCACATGAAATTGTCAAAGTTCGCAAAGAAATATCTGGTTTGGCAAGCCATCTGTACCTGTGGCTTGAAAAGCAGCATTTTCATAGCTTCCGGGACTGTCAACCAGCGAGCAGCAGTTCAAGGCAAACTGGCTTTCTGCGGCGAAGAAGGTGGACAAGGTGGCTGTACAAAATCTGATGGCTGGGGTCAAGCGTAAGGCCCGGAAATTCGGATTTGGAAAAGCGGAAGCCTAACTGAATATTTTTCCTGAATTTTACACTAATTGAACTTGAAAAAGAAATTTAATTTGATTTTTTAAATAAACGATTTCACCGATTTACACGCGTTTTCCCTTGACCAAATTTTGACCGTATCACCCTTTAAATCCATGACTTCGGCGTTTACAGGCAAATTATACGCTTGTTACGATACTTTAGTTCAAATGCTACCGAACAAAGTCAATAAGAACGCGTGATGTGAATGTTTGCACCCAATATTCTCAAATACAAAAGAAGCGCTCCGACCGAATCAATCTTTATCTTCATCCAATAGGCCGAAGTAAATTCATTGGCGTGTCAATGGCGATTCAATGTGTTAGGTCGAGTTTGGTGTCAAGAAGCAGTGTTAGACATTTAGCAATATCTCAATAATTTGTTTCGTTTTATCAAATCTTACGGTACGGTACGTAATAATAACATTCCCTTACGCTAGATTAAGAAAGATTTAGTGCGGGTTGTGCTTAATTGGCCGGAAATGGGGTAGTTAACCCTACTGACATGCGAGTATAGAATACCTGTTTAAAATACTGGATTGCCAAAGCAGGAGCAATGCAAACACTCTTTGATATATATCATAACAATTAAGGCTGGTAAGTTACTTTAGTAGCTGGAGCACCTAGATTAAAAGGAAATGTAATTTAAATTTGGATCATATAGAGTTGAAAAAAAAAATGCATTTGGTTGTCATATAAAGTTCTTAATTAACAGCTGTGGAAGTGCCACTAAGTTTTGTGCCAGAAACACGCTCGAGAAAAAAGCGTAAAAGTCTACCATAAAGAGAAATTCTAGCAGTCAACCTTTCCAGTCAGATGCAAAATCAATCATATTCCAAAAGAAATAACGTTGCCGATGATGCACCACTCCATCTAGCGCTGACAACCATCGTCAGGCAAGTTCTAATGAACCAAAACGGTAAAATTCCACTCGTGCCAAATTGGGAGAAAACAAAAACACGGCTATCAGGTTACTGAATTTGTTTTACAGTGGAATGCTTTCTTGCCAACAAATCGGAAATAACTTTCATTACCAGTGGACGTTGTCCAAAGTGTTGGATTTGTTTGAAAAAGTGCTGAAATCGTTGACATGTTTCAGCTCGGGTAAATACTTATCAAATCCGAACCGGGTGGAATTCTTCATCATCCTCCCCGTTGCATAGCGTCAAACTTTGTAAAACTGATCCGAAGACGATTTTTTCCCCCGTCATTCCTTTTCCATTATCCCTTCAAGCAGAAAAACAAAGCGAAAAGCTCTTCTCGCCGACACCGAAATCCTAGCTGAAAGCTGATCCCACTGGAGATTGTCACTCGATTACTTTTTTTCCTGGCTTGCTTCTCATCACACATTTTGGAAGCAGATTGTCATCCGGACTCACAATATGCCTTGTGCGCGCTTCGGGGCCACAACTCCAGACACCGAGACAGTTAGACTGACAGGCAACAATACCATCGCCATGAACACAGACGTCGATGTCGCGAAAATTCACAAAAGAAAAGCGATTTTGCCCCCTTGCCACAAGTTCCCTAGCAGTTCGCTGCCGTGTCCGACTGCGCGTACAAATACCAAGCCATATAGCCTACCCAACCAGACGGAAGAACCCGAAGCGTGTGCCTTTGATTATGATTGAAATCCCCTCCTATGACAGGCTCCTCAACCATCACATCTCAACGGAGTCGAGCTAGAAATTCCGGCACGCCAAGCGAAAGGAGCGAAAAAATGATGAACCGGAAATGCAATCATGTTGAACTATGGAGCAGTGTAGATGGAAACCTAGGGTAAGTGTGCCAGTTGTGGCACTAATGCTGTAGTTTTCAACGCTTCGGACCGAAATCAAATTTGCAAATAAATTTCCATGATTTTATTTGCAAGTAGATAGGGTTAATGTCGCTGATGCCGGCCTAATATTGGGCCCATACATAAATTTCGAAAGAAAGCATTTTTTGACAAGCAACCAAAAATATCAACATGATGGGCCCAACCTTTAGATCCATAGACCAGCATTAGAGCCATTTCCATTAAATAGAAAAATATGTGTTCTATAGAATGAAAAACTTTGAAACATAAGATAGGGCCAATTAGGGGACCAGTTGGGCCAAAAACTGGCACATTTTCCCTATAGTCTCGCGATGGCGATATGATGTGACGACGACGACGGCGACGACGGTGAAGTTAGGTTTGAGTACAAAAAGCTCCATTGTTTTATTGGATTTTTCCGGGAATCCTAATTCCCGGTCCCGGTGCGAGAGCTTGCAAAAAACGCAAATGATGGAAAGAGCACTGGTTCGCTCGTCAGTCAAGAAAAAAGACCGGATGGTAGTATCTATACGGGAACGGGGTGCTAATCAATTGAATTGTGACGGAAGAACAGTTCGGTTCGTCTTTCCATCATGCAAGTTGATGATAGGAATGCTTTTAGGATGAAAGAATAGTAAATCGTTGGATTAAGTTGGTTTCGGAAAGTGACAACGAGCTGAATCGGTATCGGAAGGTCATGTGGGACATTTAGGGATTTATTCGGTTGTGAAATTGTTGCGTGTGTGAAAGCACTCAATGGACAACTTCAGAAGTGACCAAAGCACATTGAGTAGAAATCAGGCGTCAGTTTGAAAGGATAAAGAGAATGTTCGTATGCCTGGGAAGTGTTTGAGACGTTTTAGAAACCTTTCCCTACGCATGCATTTTTTAATTTCTAGTGGAGGTATCCATAGCTATCAGAGCTATATATATATAAGTCTAGTGGTGAATTGCGCACGTGTGTAATTCTAATATTGATGTATTTTAACTATGACGTGTATTCAAAACTCAACTTGATTTTTTAACACATATATCGACGGATCAAAAAGTGAAACAGTCAGCGAAATGCTCAACAGCAATTTTCTGTACGTACTCAGACCAACTGCTAATCTTAAAAACTGCAAGGTACTGTTAGAAGCGTAAAATCTTAGCAAGTAGCCAGGGGTCACATTGTGAATCTTGAAACGAAAGACTTTTTGTACGAACGC